TAAAGACAAACACACGTACATCATCGGATAAATAAAAACGATAACGTTTAATATATTTTTTAAATTGTCAGTGTACGGTAGCGTTCATTTTGTGCAGGTCCTAAGGATAAAAGCTTATCCCTGAAAAGCTTTGTCCACGAACTAATGGAACTAAAATGTCGCCTTAACGGTAACGATTCCAAGAAGTGGTACCCGGGATACATGCTGTCTTTCAATATGGTTTCTGTTTTCCTGCGACAACCAGAATTAGAAATGTCCTTAAATTGTGTGTAGGGGGGGCAGCGTGCAGTCAAATTTTTTGAATGAAGCTTTGTCCATCATAGAATTTTTACTGAAATTGAGAACTGATCAGAAAAACTAAATTCGTCATCTTGGCTTCAATCTATGACAATAACTATTAAAGTATTTAAATTAGTTTGTTTAAAATAATTCCTGCCATTAATTAAATCATTTCTCTTATTAGTTTTCAAAATAATTCAGAAAACTATTCCTCTCCCACCACCAAAAAAAAAAAAAAAAAATTAGCTTCTAAAACTTTTAAATAAGTTGACATCCAGAAAAGTTGATAGGTCTGTAAGGACATCATTATTAATAAAATAAATGAATTATTATTATTATTAATAATAATAATAGATATCATATATAAATATAACAAAAACAATTTATAATAATATAATAATAATTTAATAATAATAATAACATAATGATAATAATGCTATAATAATGATATAATAATAGATATATATAAATAAAACAAAAAACAATATAATAATAATATAATAATAAGATAATAATAATAATATAATAATGTAATAATATAATAGATATCATATAAATAAAACAAAAACAGTATAAATTTATATTTATAAAAATATAATAATAATAATAATAATAATAATAATAATAATAATAATATATCATATATAAATAAAACAAAAAATAAAAGCAAATAAAATAAACAAAATTCCCTCAGCACGCAGAAAAAACATTTCCCACCGATCGAACAGATTCTTCGCTCTTAAAAATGCTCAACTCATTTTGCGCAGGTCGCAAAAGTAAAAGCTTATCACTGAAATACTTTGTCTTAAAACTAATAGAACTAAAACGTCATCTTGAAGGTACCGGTTTAAACATATAGTACCCGGGGTGCATGCTCTCATTCATTATGTTTTCTGCTCTGCTGCGACCAACGGGAATTAGAAATGTTCCCTAAGATGATTTTTGGGCAACATTTATAACCCTTCGGGCGGATCTCTTGTCCGCTGAAGAGCAGCTGGAATTGCAAACAGTACGACAGCATACTCTTAACAGAACAGCGTTAGAATGTCACCATTTATAAATTATCTTTTTCTGCAATTTCTCAGTAAATAAAAACACTGACTCGTCAACTATTAATTTTATCCACCATCTCCATACAAATCCCATCGATAACCAAAGGCGCAGGTTCAGTTTGAAATTTGAAGTTTACCGAGTTTGAAGAATTTTGATTGATTTATTGATCTGTTTTGTATGGCTTATCAATCATTTGCGGATTATTTAACCTTTAGCCTCTGTAATATGCAGCAACATTGGGTGTCAATGGCCAGACAACTGCAGTAGCATCATTTTCGATTCTCAGTTAGTCATTTTCTGTTGCCATAGTAGGATATGACAACACTAGCGCAAAATTCAACCACATTATTGTCTGATGATCACAGTTGCATGCAGTGGCTGTTTGACAAGTGAAGTCACCTACATAGAAAGTGATAAAGTTTAAGGCCATAAAAATATTTTTAGATTGTAAGAATTTTTTAAAGATAATAATGATTTACTGATACAAATTCTACTATTTAACCCATACCAGGGGGAAAAGGTGGTGGATTCCTACCTTTCCTAAGGGTTCTTTACGCGTAAAGGAATTCAACGAACCCGACTTGAATTGGAACTCGTCTCTCTGATTTCCAGTTTAGAGCCATTATCCATTATTTTTTTGTTCCTAACCTTTTATTTAAGGCAATGTCGAAAGTCTATATTTTGATTATATTATTATTTTCCCTTCTAGTTATTAGGTTAGTGCAAAAATAATGACGTAATAATGTCGTTTTTTGACGTATTTTTAACGTCAAAAACGACATTATTACGTCATTATTTTTGCACCAACCGAATAGATGTACTATCTATTTTACTTGTTGCTGCTGTTGGAAGTCTTCAAGTGATTTGGATTTATCATTTTGTAAATTTTTTGTTGGTGATTCTAAAGCGCCAGTCCAAGAGATCTGATAAAGTACATTACGACCAGAAATTTCGAAACCTTTTTTGTAATCCTTTGTCCCCTAGCAAGGCAGTAGCACCACTAAAACGCAAAGGGTTACTGAGTCTTAGAGAATATGAGGAAAAAATATCACTATAAACGTTAGTCAGAAGAGAGAATAATAAAAGAACAGGGGGCATTAAATACATCCAAGTTGATAGTATCTGCTACTCCCAAGCGGTCAACTGGCTAGTTATTGACCAGGCTTAACTTCAATGATTGTGTGTGAACTGATGTTTCAACGTGATAGGGACGTAAACTCCGAGTTCGAAGGGAAAAACCTAAAGAAAGCCGGAGGATGAAATGTCGGAAACGTTTTGAATATAAGATGAGCTTGCTGGTTCGAATAGCAATGTAGGTACCTCCACTTTTTCGCTAAAGAGAATAGGAGAGAATAGTATGATGAAAAAAAAGGCACACAAAATTTTATCGTTGAAATGTTTATGTTATTATTAAAAGGAAGAAACAAATTATTTTTTGATTATTTAATTAGTTTTTTTTTTATCCTTTCTAGTACGTTCGAAATTTCGACAAAATTCTTTTTTTATGTCAGCGGTGGCCCAAAGATTACGATGGGGATTTTAGCAACTTTTTTTTTTCGGTAAAAACACATTGATTTAAAAAAAAAAAAAAAAATTGAAAGAAATGAAATAATTATCAGATTTTAATGAAACTTGCGGGAATTATTCACAAATGAACGAAATTATTTTTGAATTTAAAAAAAAAAATCTTGGTAAAAATATATTTTATTTTACATCTGTTACCCCCCACACACACACACACACATATACTTACTTAATTTTATGGATTTTCTCGAAATTAAAATTTCAGTCTCTTGATATTTATTAGTTAAAAGCGGGAATCCTTGAAAAAATTTTATTTTTAATAATCATTTTTTTTTTTTCGAGCAGGAATACCATTTACAGAAAATCTGCCCTGAATCGTAAAATAAAAAATGCTATAAATCTATGAGATTATTTAACTAGGAAAACATAAGGACACTATTGTTTTAAGAAAAAAAATCAATGAATTATGAATTTTTATAAGAATCGAATGATTACTGAATTTTTACAAGAATTGTTTTCATTTTTTTAAATTTTAATTAGAAACATTTATTAAGTTTTAAATCTTATAAAATCCTGTATTAATTTCATCCTTTTAGATTATATTATTATTAAGTTAAAACTATATTTACCAATCATAGTGCCAGTCATTGAACACCAAGGTAATGATAATTCTTCGTATCAAAATTCTTCGGTCACGAAATATTTAGTTCAAGTTACTGTAGAATTTCGCACCGTTACCTTTAAAAGGCTTAAAATATGGAAGGAAAAATACGATAATTCTTATATAAGAAAATTACAATAATTGTTAAGAACTATATTTAATTTTTAGCTTAGTCTGGTTGAAGGCCATAAGTTGAGAGTATCCAGAGACACTACTAAATATATCCGAGACCAGCTTAGTATCAGTCGCCCAGAATCATAAAAGTGACGAATGTCGCTTTTCGCTCATTCGACTTCAACTTGGTTTTCTCTTTGAAGCGGAGATCGTTGCCTCTTTTTCAAAATGACGTTACAGCTTCAAGAGCGCGCGCACTCGCCAGTGTGTTTCTTTCTCGAAGCGTGTGGGTGTCGCTTGGTGCTGTTTGTAGGTGTGTTTGCCGTACACACAGACGATCAACCGTCTGTTTGTCTCGCCTACCACCACCGCCTTCGCTGCCTCACCATCACCACCGCCGCCAAATTTCTTATGTTGTCTCTCTTTGTAAATCATTTTTCAATCGATTACGACCAGCCGTAGACTGTCTCGACAGTCTCCCCTCCTCCCTCGACCTACCTACTCTCTCTCTCTCTCTCTCTCTCTCTCCCCTCTTCCTCCACCTCTTCGACGGCTGGCTTCAATAGTACGACTACCTAGTCAGAATGGGAGATAGCTCATCTGGTAATAACTTGTTTATTGTTTTTTGTTATTTTCTTCGGGAAAACTCGTCTCTTTTTTGAAATGTTAATTTTTTTTAATGCTAGAAATCATCATTTACAATGCCCGAGAGTCACTCATGGTAGAGGGTTACTGTAAAAAAAACAGTAATGATGAATGAGGTGTGTGATTTGAATGAAGGATGTGAAGCTGATGAGGATTCGGGAAAATAATTTTAGATCGAATTGTCGATCAAGAATGGACTTGTCTGTAACATCCAACATATATACTTCTAAAATCCCATAACATCTACTGTACAGCTTAATAGATCAGCTATGATTAAAGGGAATATCACAGACAGAGCAGAACAAGGGCGCCTAGGTCAGGTAGACGGTCATTTTAGTAGAGGAAATGGACGAACTCTTTAGTCTTTGTATAAAGACTCAAATGGGAGACTTTGGTGATCATGGCTCTCCACAATTTCCTGTCCTATGTAGCTCTTTATAACTTTTATCCTTTTGCCATCTCCCCCAAATTCTGCTCCTCCGTCCATTCGCTTAATCTTGCCAGGTTAACCACATAGTATAAAATATTATTACATATATTATTTAAGCATCAATATCTTTATATCATTTCCAGATATAGATATAACATGTTTCTCCATATTTTTTTTTCTCTATCATCTATGCGTTTTTGGGAAAGAGAGTAGAGTGATTTTCAGTTGCCTTCTTCATGACATGGAATACATGGCTTCTCTTAGACTGGTTGCCACGCAAGAGTAGCGACGGCTTACGGCAACATCATGTTGAAATACCGATTCCCGTACGATCACTGAAGTAAAGCAAAGTTGAGCCTGGTCAGTATTTAGATGGGTGACCGCTTGGGAATACCAGGTACCTAAGCTTGGATGTGAGTGTGGTGTAATGGATAATGGCTTGGAAATGTTAGTCGGAGACCCGAGTTCCAAATCCTGTTGATTACGTTATATTCACGTCTTCTCACCTCCAGCTATGGGTTAAATAGTAAGTCGTATCCCTAAACTATTATTATCTAAAAAAAAAAACCAATTGCAACCAAAAAATGTTTTCTGGCTGTAAATAAGGGTTGGTAGGCCGTAGAAACAAACCAATCAGAGGTAGCGATTGTAGTCTACTTTGTTATTTAACCCACAGATAGGAGGGGCAAAGATGAATTTGTGCCTTTCTTAAAGAGCATTTGTGCGAAAGTAAACGCAAGCGACTAGACCGGCAGTTGAACACAACACGTAGAGTCCGCTTTCTGCACCGATATCCGTTACACTACCTGCACATAAGTATTAAAATAAAGTATATTAATAGCTAAAACATTTTACTTAGATGCGTGGGATTACCAGGTACCTAAGCTTGGATGTGAGTGTGGTGTAATGGATAGTGGCTTGGAAATGTTAGTTGGAGACCCGAGTTCCAATTCCCGTTGATTACGTTATATTCACGTCTTCTCACCTCCCACCTTACCAATAAATTTTATACTTACTATAGTTATCACTCTTATTCTTTTTGATAATGTCGTGTATGGACATCGGTATTTACAAACATCGGCACGTATATACACACACAAAAAATACTTTTAAAAATACTGGAGGTCTTTGAATTGTATTAAGCTTTTCCATTTCTGATGAAAAAGAGGCCAGAACATTTGGAAAATTTTGTGGCTCTAAATGGTCACTATATTAAAAGAAAGGAACTTGGAATTTCGAAAAGAAATGTACTTCATTTTTATATCAATTGCTTTATTACATAATATCTAAAATTCTTTGATATTACCACATCTTGTCTGCCAATGGATTTCTCTTAAACTCTTTAGTTGGCGTTGTAAACAATGATATAAAAGGAAATGACACATTCTTTCTGTCTTTTTCTTCACCATTATGTAGTAGCAACAACACGGGACTTGTCTCTGCCGAGGGAGATTTCATTAAACTCCAGTCTTTTATCACATTCTATTAGGACGTGGGCTCGTGATTAATTACCTACTTAATGAAACTAAATTTCCAAGCTGCTCAATGATTTTAAAACCTACGTAGTGAAACCGAAATGAACGTCATCGTGAGTACTGTTAAAAGATCAGTGTTAATAATATTCTGTTAAAATAATTATTATTATTATTATTATTATTATTATTATTTGCTACATTTTTAGTACGACACATAATCAAAAGAAAGGAAGATTGTGGTGCGCTGATCTTTTACAATTAACTTGTTTCGGTAAAAAAATATTCACATTATCCACTAAATAGGCGAAATAAGGATAATTATATATACATACATACATACACACACACACACACATATATATATATATATATATATATATATATATATATAATATTATATGAAGAAATATAGTTTTAAGGTGTGCTATATTTATGGGATAAAGTATTCAATATCAGAGATACAGCGTATGTAAATATAAATATAAAAGTGAACATTGAACATTATAATAATATATGAAAAGATTACCTAAGTTTTAAATATCAATTTTATCCCAACTTCGAAGTTTCTTGGTAAAATTTCCAGTTTTCAGGGGGTTCTGGTTTTAAACGATACTTGTACCTCCTAAAAATATTTTAATATTGTAAAAATGAAAAATCTTTCTTAAAGCATTTATTTAATCTCAGTTACAAGCTAATAGATTACATCTAATATTCCCAATCAGCAAAATACTTTGCTGCATCTGAATTTAAATTGATTGAAAAGTTTGTTTTTTATTATCAGTAAAATCGATGAAATCGTCATTATTGATAAAACTGTCAACACGACATTATCATCTTTATTAAAAAAAAAATCTTTCACTGATAAAATATACTTTTCTGAAACTTTATTTAAGGAAGATTAACTGATTTAAAGTTTAATTAATCCTAATTAAAACAAATATTACTTAGTTCTCGTTTAAACTATCACAGAAAAACATAATATAAAGTGTGTTTTTATGAGGTCTTGTTATATTTATTGACAGCCTCATGATTGAGATATTTATCTAAGATAGAAAAAATCGTAGTACATGACACCACGAATACAACGTAACGCCTTTTTATGTTTTTTTTTGTTTTTTTTTACTCCCCAATAATCTTTAAATTTTTAAATATTTCAAGCATTCTAAGATTTTATTGAATTTTAGGTACTTTGGAATTATAGCTTTACTTACGAAGGCACTTGTTTATGAAATGTTAGAAAATTACCAATAAATTTTAAACTTACTATAGTTATCACTCTTATTCTTTTTGATAATGTCGTGTATGGACATCGGTATTTACAAACATCGGCACGTATATACACACACACAAAAATACTTTTAAAAATACTGGAGGTCTTTGAATTGTATTAAGCTTTTCCATTTCTAATTAGTAAATATAGGTTTTATTTAATAACAATATCACTTGACCGCTCTAAATTAATAGAGTTTTTTTTTTTTAAATTGAAACGTTTATGATTTATTCTAATTAATCTTTTTAAAAATTAAGACAATTCTTGTAAAAATTCATTATTCAACGAAAACAAATTCATACGACAATGGTATCCATTAAATATTTTATTCATAAAGGCATTTAAAACAATTCTAATTAAATAATGTCTTAGTTTGAATGCATTTTTTTTTTTTTTGAGATTCAGAGCAGATTTTCTGTAAGTGGGTGTCCAGTTGGACCAAAAAAAAAAAAATAGATGATTCAAATTCTCCTAGGACTTCTCCTTATAACTAACGTAAATATTAAGCGCTACAAAAAAGAGTTTCGCAAAATTTCATAGAATTAAAGTGTGGGTTAACAAATGCAAAAAAAAAAAAAAAAATTCAGGATATTCTGAAAAGGAAACATTTCAAAAGTAATTTCTTAAATTCAATTCATTCGAAGTTCTGAAAGTCTCATTAAAATCCGACAATTAACTAATTTATGCAAGAATCTCCAAATCAATGCGTTTTTCACGAAAAAAAGATTCTAAAATTGTCCGTACTAATTTATTGTGACGCGAGAGAAGCAAGATTTTTAACCAAAATTTTGAAGGTTCTAAAAAGGATTAAAGAAATAGAAAAAACATCTTTCGTCTTTCCTCTTAATATAACATGACACATTTTAACGATAAATGTTTATTTTAGGCATTTTTCATCATGTATGTTTTTTAACTAATCTTTGGAGGTACACACACACAAACATACACGTATATATATTTGAGTATTTAAGTAGCAAACCTTCTTTCATGCACGTTTCATTGAATACAACAGTCAATGTGCTTTGATTTAGTTTTTTATCCAATTTCTTGTGTGATCTTATAATTTTTTTTTCTTTTCGGTAGTTAAATTATATAAAAACTATGCAACTGCTCTTTTTTTACCGAGCGCTTTCGGCTAACAATTTAGCCATTTTCAAGGTTGTAATATATTAACTGTTAAAAATAAATAGTTTGTTGTTTGTATGTATTTATATAATGTTTTCATTTTCAAAACACGGTTAGGATATTGTGTCCATGTTCATAGTTGATATTATTGAGTGTTGTTTTTTTTATTATTATTTTTATTAATAAGGCTTCCATTATTTTAAGCATTTTTTTAAAATTTTGTTTTTGTGCATGTAAATGATGCTTTTATATTTGTGTTGTCAACAAGTATGTTACGAATATGTAGTGTCAGTCTTCGTGTCAAACATGTTGTAGTATGGCCTATATAATTATTTACGAATTTTGATTGATCAGGAATACAATTCCTTAACATTTAATAGTATATATATATATATATATATATATATATATATATATATATATATATGTATGTATATATGTATTATTTAATGTACGCATTAAAATTAATTATTTATGTAAAAATGAAGCACAATTTTCCTAACTCAAGAATAAACTAGAACGCTCATAAATTAACAACGATAGCATATGTTTAGAAAACCAGAAGTCAAAATGGCAAAAAAATTGTAAGTAATGAGGAAAGAGTGAGGAAAGTTTAAGGAGTGAGTGTAAAGGGGGAAAAAAACGACGAAAAAGACAAATAATCACGACATTCTACGCGTACACACACGCGTACACACACGCGTTCAGGCGACGCCTGAGCGCCTGCCCGTGAACGCATATACGCACACACACATACACGCACGCACGTGCACACATATATACAATAAAAATATTTGCACCAATGAAAATGCATATAAAAAAGAAAAATCGAGAAGTATAATCAATCAATTGTAAATATAAACGTACATGTCGGTTAGAATTATCCAGCGAAGATGGAGGAACGTTAAATGTAAAACTTTTAAACAGTTTTAACAGTTTTGTTTTTTCCTTGGTGTCCGATGTATCTAGCCGTGCAAAATTCTTTTTCCCAAGACTTCAGTTTTTGTTTGTTTGTTTGTGTGTGTGTGTGTGTGTGTGTGTGTGTGTGTGTGTGTGTGTGTGTGTGTGTGTGTGTGTGTGTGTGCTTCTTTTTAAATATTCCTCATTGTGACAACAGAAGATCTGCCAAGCAAGGAGAAATGTTGTAAGAACATGGACGCAAACTTACCGAAGAAGATTCAGCAATCAGTGCACTTTCTATACATTTTCGCCAATTAATTAAAGCGATATTTTAAAATCGAAATTATTAGCAGACTCATTGCGGTGAGCGACTAATGCACTGAGATTTTTGCTTTGTAAAATATTCCATTTAGTTTTTTTATTTAAATTCTTCGAAGTCTCTCCTATGTATTCTTTGTGGCTATCATTAAAGGTTATAGTGTAAACTCATGAAATTAATGAATAACAGATGTTTCCTCATAAGGAAACAGTTAATATTACCATTAGATGAGGAGAACAAATACTACACTTTGATCCAAGCTCGATGATCAGGTAATGAAGAAAAGCGTAACTCGCATAGAACTGTCTCCTC